GACAGTGCGGCACTCCCTCAGTACTGACCCTCTGACAGTGAGGCACTCCCTCAGCACTGACCGTCCGACCGTGCCTGCTCCCTCAGTACTGACTCTCTGACCGTGCCTGCTCCCTCAGCACTGATCCTCCGACAGTCCCCTCTCCCTCAGCACTGACCCTCCGACAGTGCGGCACTCCCTCAGTACTGACCCTCCGACAGTGCAGCACTCCCTCAGTACTGACCCTCCGACAGTGCGGCACTCCCTCAGCACTGACCCCCTGATAGTGCGGCACTCCCTCAGCACTGACCCTCCGACAGTGCGGTGCTCCCTCAACATTGACCCTCCAACAGTGCAGCACTCCCTCACTACTGACCCTCCAATAGTACGGCGCTCCCTCAGCAACGCCCTGTAAAAGTTTACCACAGTCTGACTGGAGAGAGACAACTGGGGATGAGTTTAACCTGATGGTCACCACAGGTTTCCTCAGCTGGCGTAGGAATTGAACCCACACTGTTGGCTCCACCCTGTATCGCAAACCAGCTGTCCAGCCCTGTGAGCTAACCAAGCCCCTCAAACACTGTGTCATTGTTTGTCAGAGTCTGGTGGAGTGCTTACTTGTACATGAAGGGGGCGACGGTGGCAGTGTTGGGGTGGCTGTGTTGCTGTTGAGGTTGAGGGAGCTGCACGATGACATTGCCTGGCATTTGCTCAGTGTTGGCCACTCCAGGAGCTGGCGTAGTGGCAGTGCTGAGGGAGGACGGTGGTGAGGATGCTAGGGTGGCACCTTTACCCTCTAAGGAGGTGATGCTGCTGGAGCTGGAAGCTTTGCCATTGGCCTGAGATTTCTGCAATGCCTGGCCAGAGCTCCCCTTGGCACTCCTGGTCTTCTCAGCGTCCTTCATCAATGTGGCTCCAGGCACTGATCCCGACTTTCCGGTGGGTAACTTGGATCCTGGTTTGGGAATCCCACTGGAAGCAGGGATCTCCTTTTTGGCTCCTGCAGGTTTCCCTCCTTTTGGTATTAAGCTGGCGATTTTTGAACTCTTCCGAGGCACCTCACTCGCCTTTTCCTCCTTACTCTTTACTCCTTTGCTCTTCTCCTTCTCGTCTTTCTCCTTGGCTGGAGGCGAGGCCTTCTTATTGCCTCCGGACTTGCCTCCCGTCCTTTGGGCTGTTCCCTTGGACTGCGCCTTGGGGCTGCTGCCTGTAGAACCCCCTCCCCCCGCCTCACCGCACTCCAAGGGAGGACCCTCATCTCTCGAACCCTCAGTAACTCCAGAACCCGGGCAGACGGGTGGCCTGGAGGACATCCTGTTGTTGATCAGTTTGAACTTCTCCAGCATGGACTTCTGCCCATTGGAGGGAGCCTTGGAGGCGTCGGGCGCAGTGCCTCGGAGCCTGTCGTTGGAAGCAGTGGGAGAAGTGGCAGGGCTGGGCACCTTCACACTGAGCATGGACGATGTGGCAGCGTGCTTGACATTCATCGATTTACTGCGCCAAGGTTTACAACTGCCAGGGGAGGGGATGGCAGAAGCCGCGTACTGCCCCGTACCAGGGGCCGGGGGCAAATTCCCATTCATGGCCGAAGGTAATGGAGGGTTCTTGGATGGCTCTGAAAAGAAAGGAAAACGAAAAGCAAAATGTCAAGAAATGTTCAGCCACTCCTGACTCAAAACAGACGCATCGGAAACAATCAAAGCTGAGATCCAGCGATCTTTGGCTTTGTTGGCTCAGATATCAAAGAAATTAAACAGAGATTTACATTAATATAACACCCCAGGATGTCACAAAACACTGAACTGTCGAAGAATTACTTTTGACAAGAACTTATGGAGTCATTCAGCACAGAAACAGACCCTGCAATCCAACTAGTCCATGCCGATCATGTTCCCCAACAAAACTAACAAAAATCTCAAAACGTCTGATGATTGTGAAAAATGCTTTACAAAGGTGAGTCTTTCTTTTTCCTTTCGGTCCATCAGCATCATCTTTGATTTGAAGATTCTTCACATGGGTATCATTGGCTGGGTCAGCATTTATTGCCCCTTTATTACCATCTTACTAAACCCTGAGGAGGTGGTAGTGAGTCACCTTTTTTTTAATGGAGCTGAGTGTTGCAAGTGTGGCTGAGACTCAATCACATCGCTGTGGGTCTGGAGTCACATATTGGCCAGTCCTGGTAAGGACAGCAGTTTTTCTCCCTGAAGGACATTCATGAACCAGATGATTTTATTTTAATTTAATAACAATCTAGTATTTATGTTGTCACCATTACTGGGAATAGGTTTTAATTACAGGTTTATTCAATAAATTGCATTTCACTCTCCCAGATTCTGAGGTGTTATTTGAACATGTGCTTCTGGACTATTAGCCCAGGTCTCTGGAAAACTAGCACAGAGTCATAACCACTAACTTCCCCATGAATGCAATTGAGGAAAAGATCTTTGCTCCATTAAGAAACATGGAGACAATGAAACTGTATCACCGCGCTATAAGGATTGTGTAAACTGTGAAGATCAAGGGATGGAAGTAGACAAATGTCCAGTGGGCAGAACTGGATGATGACAGTCATTAAAGGAAAAAAGAGATATCAGAACTCTGGGGAATATTTGACTTAACCAATAAAGGAGCAGAGAATGAGCCAATCATGGCTGCTGGGGTAGAATGATTTGAGAAAAATGTGGAGAGCTACTGGTAGGAGGCTTGTCAAATTTAGATTTGCCCAAGGCAGAAATAAATGATTCACCAACATGTTCATAACCATCACAGAAGAACATCACAGAAAGAGTGAAGCTACAATAAGGATGAGTCCAGATTTTTGAAGAACACTTATTAATTGACTGAGGTTTAACCTTATCAGGAGAGAGGCTGCACTATCAAAAAGCTCGAAGCTCTCCTGAAATGAAGCCTAATCAGTACCTCATTCCCCCGACTGAGTGTCACTGTGCACTAATCCAATCAAATCTCTCCTTGACCAGGAGATTTCAAAAAAGACAATTAAATGGTGCATATGAAAATTAAACTTTCGGTAAACAGAAATATCAAAGATGCTGGCAGAAAAAAATGCACCAGTTCACAACTTTGGCGAGAGAAAAATTATTCCTGATTCTCACATCCTGAGTATCCCAAATTTCCCTCAAAACATCATTAATTTGAACTGCTGGATCCTAAACTCTGGAATTCCCTCCCTGTGGCACTCACCTCACAAGTTCACCTGCTGCGAAATACCCCTTAAAACCTCATTTTTTCACAAACTTATGATCTGTGTCTGTTTTCTTATGGAGCTCAGTGTCAAATCTTGTCTCATTAATGTTGCTGTTAGGAGCTTTGCAATGCTGTTCTATCCTGAGGGTACCACGCAGCTACAGGTCTGGGTTGGTGCTTCCAATGGGATGTTAAAACTGGAAGATTTCAGCAACAAATCCTCCTGCAGAACTGTGAAAAAACTGAAGGTGGAAATTATAGCAAAATGCTCATGTCAGAAGGATTCAAATTCATGGGTTGAATGAGCTGCAATCTGATTGATAGAATAGCTGAAGATAATTATCTCACTGAGATGAAGACAAAGGTTTAAAAATGACAGAAAGGAACATACATGTGGTGAAGAGGGTGCTCAATTTGAGAGAAAGGTGGGAGACTGAGGGAGATGGTAGGGGAGAGATGAAGGGAGGATATAGACAGCTGATGCTGTTAGATTTGAAGGGAGGCTTATCTTTAATGGTGCAAGTCAGAAATCACACAACTCCAGGTTACAGTCCAAAAGATTGCTTTGAAATCATAAGCTTTTGGAACGCTGCTGCCATCGGTTCGCCTGACGAAGGAGCAGCGCTCCAAAAGCTTGTGATTTCAAATAAACCTGTTGGACTATAACCTGGTGTCGTGTGATTTCTGACCTTGGCCACTCCAGTCCAACACTGTCACCCCCACATTAACGGTATTAGGTCAATGTACAAAAACAGAAGTTGCTGGAAAAGCTCAGCAGGTCTGGCAGCATCTGTGGAGGAGAAAACAGAGTTAACGTTTCGGGTCCGGTGACCCTTCCTCTGAACTCTTTTGGTTTTTATTAGGTTATTGTAACTGGATAGTAATGCAAATCAATCCTCTCCCCCAACATTCCCCAATGTCGCCAGGCTAACCTATTAGGGACATGGGTTCAAATCCCACCATAGCAGACGGTGAAATTTGAAAATCTGGAATAAAAAGCTGGTCTAATGGTGATGGTTCAATCATTTTTGATTGTCATTAAAGACCCATTGGGTTCACTAATGCCTTTTAGGGAAGGAAATCGGCCATCCTTACCCAGTCCAACCTCTATGTGACTCACAGTGATGCAGCTGGCTCCACTAAATGTTAATGCGATAAATGCAGGTTTAGCCAGTGAGGGCCACAGCCCACGAATAAATAAAAATAAGATCAAAGCAGTAAAAAATGGGGATGTCATTCTGGAAACGTTCTCCCTCTTGAGCATTCCTGACTTTAATTGTTCCGTCATTGGCAGCAGATAGTTCTGGAATCCGTAAGACCATAAGAAATAGGAACAGGAGTAGGCCATTCAGCCCCTCAAGCCTACTCCACCATTCAGTCCTCTTCTTAAACCTCTCTGCCTCCCAAACTCTTTGTCTCTCCCTGTTCCTTTTAAAAGCCGGTTATAGAGTCATAGAGATGTACAGCTTGGAATCAGACCCTTCTATCCATCTTGTCTATGCTGACCAGGTTTCCTAAACTGACCTGGTCCCATTTGCCAGCATTTGGCCCATATCCCTGTAAATCCTTCCCATTCATGTCCCCATCCAGATGTCTTTTAAATGTTGTAATTGTACCAGCCTCCCCCACCTCCTCTGGTAGCTCGTTCCATACACGCAACACCCTCTGGAGTGATTAAGTTGCCCCTCAGGTTCCTTTTAAATCATTTAATTCTTTGGCTAAGCTTTTGACCACCTGCATCTCCTACGTTGCTGTTGTAGAAAGTGTTTGACAACACTGCAGTGAAATGTTCTGTTGCATAGAAACAGCAAGTTGTTGTTGTTAGGAATACTGAAACAGGCTAAAGTTAGGGGCATAAACTATACCTATCTAACGTGCCCCTAAACCCCTAGCATCTGTATCCAGGTTGTTCCCTGAAACCAACAGCACTTTCCAAAACCAAGGACTGTGAAATTGGATAGGTCCTGATGTGTTCCCCAAACTGTCATGTGCAGTTTAGAGTAAAGGGCCAACACTCAAAGATGTAAATAGCCAGCTATATCAGTAGTGTTGCTGTGATGTAGAATTAGAAATGATAAAATAAGCCGTCACCTTATAATGATCTTTGACGCTCGAAATTGCTCTGAAGTGATGCAGAAAAATTGATCTCATCCAAATCTCATGACACAAGAACACATGGTAACAGTGAGTGAGAGACCCAGCAACAGGAGAGAGCATAGGTACAACATCACCAAAAGAAACCAGGAGCTGAGGAGCAGTCAACAACATGGTGATATTGAAAGAAAATCAAAACTCCAATGAAAGGAAGCCATGGTACAAATCCAGCTCTACTAGAATCTTCTGAGCAGATAAAAGACCCACAAAAAGCTGCAAAGTGGCAGGACTGGTGCAGGAGATGCAATCGATACAGGAACACATCAGAGTTAGCAGCCAAATAAAGTATGGACCAGGGTCAGTCTCCTACTGCTTGCCCTGCTTCAGCAGATGATGTTTTAACAAGTTAGCGTGTCAATGATGTCGATGTCAGCAGAACTTTTCATCCCGATTCCAGCAAAATATCGTCAGAAAGAGAGCAACCTTTAACAGACAGAAACAAGATCCCAGCGAGATCAGACTTTCAACAAGCAATGACCCATCCCTTTTAACAGATACCTGTGAATACAGGGCATTAAAGGTTGACAAGACTAGAGATCAGATCACAATTGGAGTTTTGAGAACCGTAATCAGGTTTCTTACAGTCTAGGGAAGATCTGACATCAGCAAAAGAGGTGAAATTAGCGAGTCGAGTTGGTTTCAGGAATGAGAACGATGTTTTAGTTCGAGGCAGTACAGGGGTTTTATGGAGGAAAACTACTCAGCACAGGACAAATAGCTGGATACAAAAGTGGAAGTGTGTTAGCACAGAAGCCAGTGAAATGCAACAGAAGGGCAGCAGACAGTATTATATGGAGCTCTAACTCTGGACAAAATAGACAGCATTGGCAAAAGACTGTCCTGCCAAAATGCAGTGGGTCCATCATCGTAAAAGGATCTTAACCTCAAAACAGGATGAAAAGGAACAATATCCAAGAGACTGTAAAGCCAAGTAGCAGTGAAATCAAAACTGAAAGAACTGCGGATGCTGTAAATCAGGAACAAAAACAGAAGTAGCTGGAAAAGCTCAGCAGGTCTGGCAGCATCTGTGAAGAAAAAAAATCAGAGTTAACGTTTCGGGTCTGGTGACCCTTCCTCAGCACAACGAAATCAAGTTCTAGGGTGGATGGAATGTTAACAAAGGAATAAATGGTCACCAAACAAATGCTAAACTTGACACTGGGGCAGATGCATCAGCTCTCTCAGATACAGTAAAAAAAAATTTGGATCAAGAAATATTCCATTTTTGTCATTATCTGACTCTGGGGGCCAGGG